AGATAACAATAAGTGTTAGTGAGGGTGTGGGGGAAAAGCCACACTGATACATTGCTGGTGGGACTGCAGATTGGTGCAACCAATCTGGAAAGCAGTATGGAGATTCCTTAGAAAACTTGGAATGGAACCATCATTTGAGCCAGCTATCCCATTCCTCGGTCTATACCCAAAGGACTTAAAATCAGCATAGTATAGTAATGCAGCCATATCAATGTTCATAGCAGCTCTGTTCATTGTGGAACCAACCTAGATGCTCTTCAGTAGATGAATGGATAAAGAAACTGGTATATATACACAATGGAATATTACTCAGCATTAAAAGAGAGTAAAATTATGGCATTTGCAGGTAAATGGATAGAATTGGAGAATATCATGCTAAGTGAAGGAAGCCAATCCCAAAACACCAAAGGCCGAATGTTCTCTCTGATAAGTGGATGCTGATCCATAAGGGGGAGTGGGGAGGCATGGGAAAAATGGAGCAACTTTGATTGGGCAAGGAGAGGGAGGGTTGGGGAGGGTGCATGGGAGCAGGAAAGATGGTGGAATGAGATGGTCATCATTACCCTAGGTACATGTATGACTGCACAGATGGTGCAATGCTACATCGTGTACAACCATAGAAATGAAAAGTTGTGCTGCAGTTGTGTACAATGAATGAAAATGCATTCTACTGTAATATATATACCTAATTAAAATAAATAAATTAATTAAAAAAGAAAAATACTATGTTAAATACTTTTTTAAAATTTTTGAATGGAAAAGGTATAGTAGAGGTCTTTCAATGCCCTCCCTACAAGCTAATGTAGTTAAAAAGTTGGTGTACTGGGCTAGAAGTGTAGCTCAGTTGTAGAATATGTGCCTCATGTTTATGAGGTTCTGGCTTAAAAAATTTTTGGTTGTATCTTCTCTATTCATGTCTCTGTGTTTTATTATGCACATATTTATCCATAAGTTTTTTGCTTTCCTCTCTTTTTCTACGTCCTATTTTATCATTAATATATTCTGTGCTGTATTCCCTCCCTATTCCCCTGCTCCTTTGAAGGCTTTAGATTCTGTTGGTGAACTTCAATTGTGAGAATTACATTCTGTTAGATATTGGGGCCAGCTAGCCGCAGGAACGGTCTTTAGCAAAGTACAAGTAAACAGTACAATTTACCTGGAAAGGCCTCTGCTGGGCCTGGGATAAATCTGGACCTCTGCTGATACCCAGTGTGTCAGTAATGGCTGCTGGAGTGTCTGAGGGAAGACTGAGCAGCAGTGAGCAAGAACACAGCTGTAAGCCCTGAGATTAAGAATAGGATGAACTGACTGGAAGGAAGGGTGGAGTTGTAGACCCAGGGAAGCTGGGATAAGTGATGAGATAGGTCACTATTTTTTTTTCTTTTACTGCAATAAACCAAACATTTAATTTAATTCAGAATAAGAGATAAGGAATAACTCTTCAATAAAATATATAAAATTGTACAATGTACCCTTTTCAAAGGGATTAAAGTGTACTGGGGAAGGGAGATGGACACCAAGGTGAAACACCACCTGCGCGCTAACTACACGGGCTGTTTGACAACACCATTTTTAGCAAGTTAAAGGATGGCTTTACCCTCTGCCTCCAACATGTTAAAAAGTGTGGAAACTTTTCCTAATAAGTTTAGCACATACAATAGGTACACACACAGAGAAAGCATGATTTTTTTTTCCTTCCTGGTTCTACTAATTGTTCAAGAATATTTCGCATATAGGTAAGATATTTGGTTTTTTTTAAGCAGAAAATTACTACACTTTCGTACCCCCCCCCCCAAAAAAAAAATCTTTGCAATGTGTGAGTTGATGTACCTAGTATTTCATAGTAATCATCAATGCCTTCTGATACTCTTTAATTTTTTGCTCTCTGATGACTGACCCGAAATGGAGTTAAATAGCACAGCACTGAGAGAAGTTAGGAAGTATTTATTTCTGTTTTCTCCCTTGCGCTGGGTGGTCTCAGGATTACTCTCACCACCTTTTTTTCAAGCTTATGAAAAATAAATGATAAAACCAACAATATGGAGAAGGAGGAAAATAGAGTCAAATATGGTAGCATCTCACAAGCTTTTTCTTATGCATATAAAATGCAAATGTGTTATAATACCTCATTTATTTGCCAGAAGCTTTCCGTTATCTACTTCCTGGATGCATCCTAATTCTAGTATTTGATTTCCATAAGCAGAAGTCAACTCAGCATATCAAGACCACCAAATTCGCACCAATTTGGAAATAACCTGTCTCCTCCTTTAGGAAAACACAACAAATGGACTTACAGTCTCTTTAAGGTGATATATGTTTATAAAGTTTGCATATGTTTATAAATTTTGCCTTTCAAAATAATTTGAATTTTTACATTTACTGTATAAAAATCTTATATTTTATCATATATATGTATATATATATTTATTTATTTATTTATACATTGAAACTGCCAGAGCCAATTTTCGTGAAAGGAGAAGGGAACATTTAGGATATGACGCCGAGTAAACAGGACGTGGTGCCTCCCATCTAAAGAAGAAATTCGAACTAGGACTTGGGGCCCTTGGGCCTAGACACTTTGGACGGTGCCTGAAATTTCGTTGTAGGAGGACTGGGTTGGTCCCCTTCTTTGAGAGAGAGGTGAATCCTTTTAAACGAATATCCATCCTGGATTCTACGCGGTATCCCACTGACGTGGTCTTGAGTCGGATGGGCAGGAGGGGAAGAGAAGGTCTTTGGAAAAGGTAGGAGGCTCCGGATAGGGACACTGCTTGCAGGGGCGAGTTGATGGGGAAAGGGAGACCAAACCGGGAGGGGCAGCCTAGGTTTAGCTGCCATCTTCAGCTTTTCCAGTTCTGCCCCCTGCAGGCTTTTTGCCTTGGCCCTGCCGTTCTGGAACCAGATTTTGACCTGGGTCTTTGAGGTTCAGAGAGCTGGAGAACTGCGCACGCTGTGCCATGGAGAGGCGCCAGGAACTGGGACGTGGTGAAGGGCATGCGAGAGGCTTCCGATTGGTCTTGTGTTTCCTCAGGGTGCAGGTGGTGGAGCTTCTCTCTAGACGGAGACGGGTCACCATTAAGAGTTGAACTGTGTTGCTCAAAAAGATGTTGAAGTTCTAATTCCCAGTACCTCAGAATGTGATCTTATTTAGCGATAAGGTCGTTATAACTAGTTAGGATGAGGTCGTACTGCATTAAGGCATGGGCCCTTAGTCCCGTATGACTGGTGTTCCTATAAGAAGTCAGCATATGAAGACACAGAGACAAAATGCCATGTGCAGACAAGAGGTAGATGGTGGAGTGATGTGGCCACAAGCCAGGGAGAGGAGAAGGCAATATGAAGACAGAGGCAGAGATTGGAGGGAGTGAGATCACTAGAAGTTGGGCCTTCTGGTGGTGATGGGCCACCAGAATCTGGAAGGAGCAAGAAATGCATTCTCCCCTAGAGCCTTTGGTGGAAATGTAGCCCTGCTGACACCTTGATTTCAAACTGATGACATTTAGAACTGTGAGAGAATAAATTTCGATCATCTTATGCTCCTGGTTTCTGAAAATTTATTATGCAGCCACAGGAAAATAATACAAATGGCTAAATGAAAAAGACAATAAGAAACATTGACAAGAATATTTTGAAATTGGAATCTTCCTACATTGCTTGTGGGGAAACAGTTGCAGTTCCCTACAATGTTAAAAATAGAGTTACCATAAGACCTGAGAATCTCACATTTCCATGTATACCTAAGAAAAACGAATTTATATGTCTACACTAAAAATTGTGCCTGAGTGTTCATAGCCTCTCTATTCATAATGGCCAAAATGTGGCTACAGTCAAATGCCTATTAACTGATGTGTGGATAAGCATGGCAATAAAGTAGTGAATGATACATGCTACATGGATGAATCTTGAAGACATTATGCTAAGTGAAAGACACCACAGCGACCGCATGTCATGATTCCACTTACATGAAATGTCTGGAATAGGCAAATCCATGGAGAACCAGTTGATTAGTGATTGCCTAAGACTGAAACAGGAGGAGGAGTGCAAAGTGACTGCTAGTAGTTAAAGGATTTTTTATAGCAATGAAAATGTACTAAAATTAGATAGTAGTAATGGATTTATAACTTTTAAACACCATTAAATTTTATACTTAAAGAGTTAATTTTACTGTTGGGTTACCAAAACAGGTCACTTAATATCATAAGGATATAAGGCATTCTTTCCTCTTTTTTTTTTTTCAATTTGCCTTTAATGAGTGTCTATAATGTGGCAGATCCTCTTCTAATCTCTAAGAACATAGTGGTTCACCAGCTTAGTCCCTTGGAATCTGTTTTTTAGCAACTATAGAAAAAAACGGAAACTTACTAAATGTGAGGTCATACGAAGGTGATGATTTGGTCCTATCCTTAGGTATGGAGTTAAGTGTGCAAAGTTAGAATGACCACCAGCAGGCTGGGAGATTGTTTGTGGGTAGCTGATCTGTTTCTTTTTAGTTCCTTTTCTTTTCTCTTTTCTGCTGTATTTGCAACCCTCTTAGCAAAAACCTAGAAGGGTCATGAGAGTATCCCTGTTCATTTTGAACTGCTTCCGAGACCACCATAGCTGTTACTAAAGTCCTTGAGCAGTGCTGCACTCGAACTCCTTTACTCCAGCAGTTGCCTTAGCCTTTTGAACAGAAAGAAAGCCTTTGTTTTTCCATCTAACCTAGTGCTGTGAGTTTTAATGGGGGAGTTTTTCAAACGTCTTAAGGAAACTCCCTTTTCTTCAAATGTTTTCAGACTTCCACACCAAACAAGAAGTTTCCATAGAAGATGGGAAGAGTGAGTTGGTACAGATGGGGTATAGTCAGCCTGGGCAGGGAATCTGCTTTCCTGAAGTTCCTGCCCATGATGTGACTTGTTCGAGCCCCTGCCCCATTCAGGAAAGTCTGGCAGCCCTCTTCTGGCTTTTCTTCCAGTAATTAGTAGTTCTGCAGTTTGATGTATTCTCATTTCTATTTGTAGATAAGATGCAGTATATTCAAGCTGAGAAAAACAACAGGGGCCCGATGGAGGCTGCCTCACTTTTCCTACAGTTCCTTTTGGAACTCCAGGAGGAAGGCTGGTTCCGTGGCTTTTTGGATGCCTTAAACCAAGCAGGTGAGTTCATTCTCCTTACAAATCAGAGCTTATTTCTTTGTTTCGTCAGAGTGCTATAAAAGTGAAGAGCTAATAATCTTGAGGTATTCAAAATACTGTTTTCAGGCTCATAACACACTTGTCTATCTGAAACATCCAAAGGAATCTACAGAGATTATTGTAACTAATGAGAGTGGTTAGCAAGGTCATTGGATGTAAGATCAGTATACAAAACTAGTTGCATTTCTACCTGGTGGAAGCAAACAGGAATGAAATGCCATTTATAATAGTAATAAAAAGATGATGTATTGGGGAATAAATCCAACAAAATATTTGTAAAATCTAGATGGAGAAAATTATACAATATTAGTGAGAAACATTAAAGACATCCTAAGTAGAGAGGTACATCCCTGCACATGGAAAGTAAGACTTGGTACCATAATAATGTCAGTTCACCTTACTTTTATCTGTATGTTTAATGCAATTCTAATAAAAATCATATATGCCTTTCCAATGGGCTTAACAAACTGATTTTAAGATCTATATGAAAGAATCATGATCTCAGAATAGTCAAGACACCTTTGCATAAGAATTAGGTAAATTGGCCTTTCCCTTCTGGGTGTTGAGATTTATAAAAATGCTGGACATGGTGGCATGCGCCCATATTTTCAGCTATTCAAAATGATTGCTTGAATCCATGAGTTTGAGACCAGCCTAGGCAACATGGTGAGACCACCATCTCAAAAACAACAACAACAAAACTACAGAGTCTCTTACAGAGACCCACACATCTGATATTTTAAAGACCCCTGGGAACAGAGGATCACTGGGAAACCAGGGAACTATTCAATAAATAGCAGTCGACCATTATAATTGAGATAATGTTAAAAACCAAATACACCCTAACTTTCAGATCCATGTGGATATAAATAAATTTGTATTTCTTACTTTGAATTCAAGAGAATTTAAAGACTTAAATATAACAGCCATTTTTTAAGCCATTTTAGAAAATAACAGAATAGTTTTATTACATGGGGGCATGGCAGGATTTATTCATAAGATATTAAAGCATTAGCCATAAAAGAAAACTTGGTAAATTTGATAAACTGTTCTTAATTTAATACTATCATAAGTCACTATAAAGAAAGTAAAAAAAAACAAGTCACAAGGTGGGAGAGGATAATTGTAAAATATATACTTACCAAAGAATATTTTAAAATCAATCAGGAAAAGGAAGAAAACACTCACTGACCAAAAGATGTGGACAGATATTTCGAAGAACAGGATGTATGAAAGGTGAATAAATAAATGAAAAGATTCTTAGCTCATTTAGCAATTAGGAAACTATAAATAGGAACCCACTGAGACAGCACTTTTTAACTACTCGACAGCAAACTTAAGTCCAACAGTGTGAAGGTGTGAAGAAGACATTTAATAATGGAAAATATTAAATATTGCTGTATACATAAGCAGACACAACTATTTTGAAAAACAATTTGACATTGTCTGGTAGAATTCAACCGTCATTTATCCCTTTTTCCAAGTTTTATTCTTTAGTTTGTGCCCTAGAAAAATATACATTTTAGAGTACACATACCATAATGTTTGTAGTATAATTATAATAACAAAAGCAAGCAAACAAAACTGGAAACAACCCCAGTATCCTCATAGAGAAGAATGGAAAAACAAGTTTTATAATGTTCACACAGTAGTCCATTAAACTACAATAAAAATGTGTGAACATACCTCTAGATTACAACTCAGAGAAATCTTAGAAATGTAATATTAATTTTTTAAAAAAGTCAGAGAAGCTTAAATGTCATAGGATATAATATGTATGAAGTCCCAAACAAATTAAACTAACCATACATTGTTTAAGGAAGCAAACATATGTCATGTGACCATTCCCAAACAAACAAATCAGGAGTGATATATCAAATACACAATAGTGATTTCTTTGGTGAGGGGATAGAAAGCTGGGGAAGAGAAGGTATACACAAATGTTAAGACATTCTTGTTCTTAATATAAGTAGTGGGTTCACATGTGTACATTTTGGTGTGTTTTTTATGTGTTACAAATATTCTATTATGTTATCAACCATTGCAAAGCTTTTTAAAAAAGTATTTATTTTTTAGTTGTAGTTGGACACAATACCTTTATTTTATTTATTGTTACGTGGTACTGAGGATCAAACCCAGGGCCTTGCATGTGATAGGCGAGCGCTCTATCGCTGAGCCACAACCCCAGCCCTGTTGCATATCTTTTAAATTTCTATTTTTAGAGCTCTGATATGTTCCTTAGTCTTTCTTATCCACACCTATAAAGTCAGTCTTACCCAGAGATATGAAAGACATCTTGGAAATCATGTGATCCAACCTCCCTCCTGTACGTGAGGAAACTAAGGCCTTGAGGGAAGGTTTGCTCAGGATCACACAGATAATTGGCATTTTTGCTAGAGTTAGAACGTAGGTCTACTGATGGCTTTCTCTTGGGGTAATTTGTTGAACTGAGATATTAGACTGTGAGAGTAGGCATTGAGTTTCAACACCAAATCAGCCACTTAACTATTTAAGGGATTTTAGCCAAGTTACTTGCCTTTCTGATTCTCCAGTTTACTCATTTGTCAAAGAAACCAAAGGATAATTTTCTTTTTGTGTTGTAAACAATGAGTAAGAGATACATATATGAAGAACCTAGCACAATGCATACAAAGAGGCACTAATCAAAATATAGTTGTTATACAATTATTATTTGCATTGTAGTAGAATGATTTAAAACCTGGGAAATTAAAGAAAACTTGTCATTACTACAGGAAAACAAATTCTGATGATGAGGTGTCTTCTATTACCTGTGTCCTCATATTGTAACACCAATATGTTAAATTAGCACAATGTTAAAAGCAAAACACACACTGTCCTTCCCTAGGTATTAGAATTCCTCAAGAGACACACATATATATAATCAGTATAATTGCAGTTCTTTTATGAAAAGTGATGTGGTTTTATTTTTCAAAAAAATTTAGGTGAAATTGTTTAAATCTTGGTTCCAATATTGTGAACTGAAACTTTTCTGCTTTTGTTTATAGGATTAAAAATTGTTGACTTATTTTCTTTCATTTCCTAACCTTGCCTTAAGATTTCTCTAAATTTGTTACTGTAATATATGCCTATTTATTCCGAACAATTTAAATGGTACAGAAGGGTAAAGTGAGTCTCCTTCTGTTTACCTTCCCCACTACCTCTTATACAACCCTCTTCAGAGAAACCACTGTTTCTCCATTTTGGGGATATACCTAATCTAGGTTATTATGAGTTACTAAAACCCCTTATTAATTTATAAGTAAAAATGGAACTTCTAAATTCTACTTTAAAATAAAATGAGGTTTAGCAATAAAAATATAAGAACAAATAGGCAAGAAAAGAAACAAAAGTAAAATTGGACAGGAAGAAATAAAATATCTTTGTTTATAGATGAGATGGTTTATGTAGAAAACTGCAACAATTTTAAAAGAACTGTTAAAACTGATAAATTCAGAGAAGTTTCAGGATACAATATCAAAAACCCAAATCAGTTGCTTATCCATATATTATATAACAACCTAAAAAGTTATAAGAAAATAATTCCATTTATAATAGCACCAAAAATAATAAAATGCTTAGGAATAAACCTAACCAAGTAGGTGAAAGACTCATACCCTGAAAACTACAAAATATTGCTGAAAAAAATGAAAGAAGATAGAAATAAATTGAAAGACAACCCATGTTCATGAATTAGAAGATGGTCTTAATTTTACGGTATTGCTACTATCCAAAGTAATCTACTGATTCAGTGCAACCCTTTCAGAATTCTAATGGCATTTTTTTGCAGAAATAGGAAAATTTATTCTAAAGTTCATGGAATCTCAAGACATCCTCAAATAGTTAAAATTGTGAAAAAAGAAAAACAAACGCATAAGACTTGCACTTCCTGATTTTTGAAACATATTACAAAGCTATAGCAATCAAAACAGTGTGGAACTGGTTATGGAGACAAATACACCAATATCCCAGAAATAAACTCTACAGAGTATAATGGTCAAATGTTCTTTAACAAAGGTACCAATACTACTCAATGGAGGAAGCATAGTCTCTTTCACATATGGCGTTGGAAAACTTGATACTCATATGGAAAAGAATGAAGTTGGATACTTATACATATGTTAGTGCTCTCCAGAAAAACAGAATCAGTAGGTTATAGTGTGTGTGTGTATGTCTGTATAAAGGGATGTATCTGTATACACAGGTGTTATTTATATGCATGTGAATCTACGTATCTACAATCTACGTATCTACAATCTACAGTCTACAATTGTAGAGACTGAAAAGTCCCATGATCTGCTGTCTGCAAGCTGGAGAACCAGGAAAGTCAGTAGTATAATTCAGTCTGAGTCTGAAAACCTAAGTACCAAAGGGCTGCTGGTGTGAGTTCTAAAGTTGTAAGATCAAAGAACTAGGAACACTCTTGTCTCAGGATGAGAAAATGGATGTCTGAGCTCAAGAAAAGAGAGAATGTGCCCTTCCTCTGGCTTTTTGTTCTATTTGTGTCCTTGACAATGGATTGAATGATGCCTGTGTACATTTTACAACATTTACTCAGTCCACTGATTCACATTCTGGAATCACCTTCATAGACATATCCAGAAATATTTTACCAGCTATTTGGTCATTCTTAGTCCAAACAAGTTCATACAAAATTAACTATCACACACTGTATACAAAAATTAATTCAACCTTAGTTAAAGGCATAAAACTCTTAGAAAAAAACAAGGGGAAAACATCATGACACTGACTTTGGCAATGATTTCTTGGATACGATATCAACTTGATAAATAAGAAAAGGAGAAAATAGACGAGTAAATACCCATCCCTTTAACATGTTATATCTTTACTATGGGATAATATATAGTAGTCAAAAGGATGAAAGACATCTATTCAGGAATACTGTATTAGGATATAATATTATATAAAGGAATCAAGTGGCAGAAATAATGTGCATCATGCAATTCCATTTTGTAAAAAAGGACGAACCCAGATTATATATGGGTTTTTCATGGAACTTCATTGAAAAAATATGAAAGGAAACTAAACTGTTAATGTTGATTATCTCTGTGAGGTTGGAGAGAGCAAGATTTTCAAGTGAAAGATGATTGTAAAATTTTCAACCTATATGCATTGCATTGTTTTAATTTCTGACTACTTAATTAAATATTGCATATATAGTTTTTTAAAATTAAGAATGAACCAACAATTATCTGGCAGTGTCTTAAGTTTTTTAATTTTATAGATTCAGCAATATTAAAAAGTGATAGAAAAGCATATGTAACAAAAACAAAAAATAAATGAGGCTATATCAAATCTTGAAAACTTTTGTGCATCAAAAGACACAATCAATAGAATGGAAAGTGAACCCATGAATTGGAGAAAATATTTACTAGTCAACATCTGGTAAGGGATTAATATCCAGAATATATAAAGAACTGTAACTCAACAAAAAATCCAATAACATGATTAAGAATTAGTCCAAGGACTTCCCGTTTCTTCATATGTGATATACAAATGCTCAACAAACATATGAAAAGATGCTTAGCATCACTAATCATTAAATAAATGAAAATTAAAACTGTATTGAATTTTCATCTCGCACTCATTATGATAACTTCTATCAGAAATTCATAGTAACCCATATTGGTGAGATATGGAGAAATGAACTCTTGTGCACTATTGGTAGGATGGTAAAATGGTGTAACTTATGGAAAACAGCATGGAGAGTCCTTTCAAACCTTAGAATCATCATATGATCCAGCAATACTAATTTTGGCATATTTCTGAAAGAATTGAAAGTAGGGTCTTAAAGAGATATTTGCACACCCATGTTCATAGCAGCATTATTCACAGTAGGTAAGAGATGGAAGTAAACCAAATGTCCATCATCAGATGAACAGATAAACGTAATGTGGAATTGGGTCAGGGATGTAGCTCAGTGGTAGAGCACTTTGCTTAACATGTGCTGAGGGCCTAAGTTTGATCCCATACCCCAAAAATGATATGTTTATACATGGAATATTATTCAACTCTTAAAAAGAAGGAGCTGGATGCAGTGTTGCATGCCTGTAGTCCTCACCAACTTGGGAGGCTGAGGCAGGAGTATCACAAGTTCAAGGCTAGCCTCAGCAAATCAGCAAAGCCCTAAGCAAGTTTGTCTCAGAAAGGGCTGGGGATGCAGGAATTAAGATTTATGTTTCTTTTTGCCTTCTTTACTACTTTCTACCGAGAAGATAGACATGAGAATTTGATTTATTTAAAGGCAAATCAGGAGTTGTAGGTGGAATTCATGGAGCATTTTGGAAGATTTTATACTAAGGCCAAATATAAGACTTCATGTTTGTCCTTACTTTACTATTTTCTCCTAAAAGATAATAAACATTGTTGGAAATCCTAACCTTATTGGGGAGCTAAGATGCATATTATTTTATTTTTGAAAAATCATTAATGACAGGTAATTTACAGGTGTTTTTGAGTTCTGTCACTTTACATTTAAACGTGATTATAGGATATTAACATCAAAGTATTTCTTGTTAATCTCATAAAAGTCCTCATTTTCTTTCTTTTCAGGTTATTCTGGACTTTATGAAGCCATTGAAAATTGGGATTTCAACAAAATTGAAAAGTTAGAAGTGTACAGAACACTTTTAAGACGTTTGCAACCAGAATTTAAAAACAGAATTGTTCCTTTAGAAATCCTTCCTGAACTAGCTGAATGTTTAATTAGTCAGGAATGTGAAGAAATTAGACAGGTAAGTTAACATAAAATACTAGATTTGGAGGAAATAGAATATGGGATGTATCTTTTGTTTTCTATACTATTTTAAACCTAAGAAAGATAATTGAAACTAAAAAAAAATCCTCATGTCTAAGATATTATTTCCTAGAATAGTACTTTTAATGTGAATTGAGTAATTTTTATGTCAAAGTTTTAAAGTTTGACCTATTTTCAGTTAAAATTACCTCATTACTTTTCTGAATAATGTTTAATGCAAATTTAAATAAAACTGAACTGTTCAGCAAATGAAAAAGGCTATAGACTAGGAGTTAAGAATTTAGGCTCTGGACATAAATAAATTTTATTAAATTTCTAGCGTAACTGTATACTAGCAGTGTGATCCTGGGCAATTTATTTAGCTTCTGTAAACATCTGTGTCTTCATGCATAAAGTGGGAACAATTATAGTACCTAAATAATATGGTATTTTTATAAGGGTTAAATGAGATAGTATATGTAAAGTGTTGATAGAAGCCTGACACATAGTGTATGTGCAATAAATTTTAGTTACTATGATTAACAATAAAGTCATGTAAATCCCTCTACCCTGAAGAAAACCACTTGTTAATATTATGATCTTCCTAATATCTATTTATGCCAATCTATCTCAGAGGAGATGGGAAATCTTGGTTTGAAATGATGATATCATGTTTAAAGGACAAGAATGAAGGAAAGAATATCTTAAGTGATAGTACTGAATGGAGTAAAAATGGCAATAACGAACACCCATAGGTCCTCAATTTGCAATGATTTTTAAATCAGATAATACTTGAAAACTCATAAATGGAAAACATTTTTGAAATAATCAATAAACTGTATTTTCCTTGCTTAGATTTGTTACAACAGGGGGATGATAGCAGGTTCAGAGAAACTGATCGAATGCCTTCTGAAATCAGACAAGGAGAACTGGCCCAAGGTTTTGAAACTTGCTTTGGAGAAGGAACAGAACAACCTCAGTGAAATGTGGCTGGTAGAGAAAGGTAGGGCGTGCCAAGAACAACTTGGAAAGGGAAGAGGGAAGGTTCAGAAACGTACTGTGCCCCCTCGCGACTCAACTTGGGACTTCCCTTATTGCCACCTGTTTTGACTTATTCTCACAGACACTTTTCCCTTCAGATACCTAAGGCTATATCTCTACTAAGAGGCCAGCATGATGCTGAGTTCTGGGAGGGAGGTAGCTACTTGCCTATGGATCTGGTTTGTTTGTATGTAACTCCTCAACATGGAACAGAACAAACTGCTGTCATCCAGAATTAGCCCATCAGGTCCAAAGAATTTGGTGCAGGCAGGTTCTGAGCTTCCGATTTAGGTTATCAGAGAAATAGCTTGTGTACTCTTGAGTTGAAGGTTCAAACTCCAGGACTTACTTATTTTTAGAGTAGAATCATGATAGACACTGCCTGGTTCTCTCACCTGGCAGCCATCTGGAAGTGAACAAAACGTGTGAATGAAGAAAGAATCTGCTGCGATTGTCTGTGCCATCATTTGGCTTCTTGAGACTGACATCTCCGAGCCTTGCCTTACAGGCTGAGTTTGGTAAACATCTGAGTGGCTAGTCTTGGTTTCAGCTAGACTTCTATTGATTAAAAGTTGTTCGGGAATCTATATAAATACACATCTACTTTTTTGGGTCAGGAATTAGTCAGAGATGGGAGACATGAATGTCTGCTAAGAAGAAGCTTCTCTTCTTTAGTGTACATATGAATTCCTTGGAAGCCTTTTTAAAATGCAGATTCTAATTCAGTAGGGGCTTAAGATTTGCATTTCTAACAAGCTTCCAGAGTTACTGGTTCCATGTTTTATACCTTGAATAATTAGTTCTTTGAAAAAAAAGTTTTTTGTGTGGTGCAGGGGATTGAACCCAGGCCCTTGTGCATGTCAGTCAAGCATTCTACCAACTGAGCTATATCCCCAGCCCTACAATAATTAGTTCTAAATGACTTTGGAGTTCAAACATCAAATGGAGACTTCACACTCAAGATGATTCTCTTAATTGTTTTGAGAAGTGAAGGGATGTGGTTGTGGGAAATTAATGGAAGTTTAAAATTTTATCAAAACTATAATCAGATTACGTTAAGGTTCTAAATTCTTCCTTTGTCTATTCACACAGGTGAAAAAGATATTGAAAATAAAGATCTGGAGGATGATGAAATGGAAACTTCTGAAATACACATTTTCTTCCAGGAAGATCCAGAATACCAGAATCTTAGTCAGAATTCCCAGGCACCCTCAGGTACCGGCATTGCTTGTTCTTTTTCATAATGGGGTTCTTCAGGTATTTGTGGGGGGATATATTTTGCACTGCCAGAAGTCACAGCCTTGTGATTTTTTTTTTTTAAGGAAGGTTAAGAAAGAAAAGATAATTTAAGTTAAAAATAGATACTTTATGGTTAGAATTGTCATTTGATTTTCTGTGATTGCTTCTTCTGCTTTTAGCTTATCTTTTTTTTCTTCATTCTTGTTTTATCACCAAGAAATTATTGTGGCTACATTGAATTATGGCTACATTGAAAAGGCAAACAGAGTCCTCTCAGAACCTCAGTGTCCAAATCCAACAGCGGCCTTACTTTCTGAAAAAATACTTGTGTTTGTTAGCCACTTGTTCAATTCCTTTTAAGATCCCAGGGCTGCCATGTCAGCTATGTGCACTGCACAAATGTACCTAACTGAGAACCAGCCTGTAGTATTTGCCAGTGCATGGAGGGATTGTGTTCTCCCAGAGGGCTCCTTGTTCTCAAACATCAGGCAATGTATAAGTACTTATTAATGGTCCTATAAGGCCCCCTTATATTTTTTTTGTTGTTGTTGTTTTCTATGGACCTGTATTTATTTATTTGTATGGGATGCTGAGAATCGAACCCCGTGCATCACACCTGCTAGATAAGTGCTCTACCACTAAGCCACTACCCCAGTCCCCCTTATGTTTCTTGAAATATATTTTCATGACCATTTTATGAAGAGACCAGAAGGTTACATAATATGCCAGAACAAAATGATATTTATAAAAGGATATAAGGAACGGAATTAGGATTAATAATAAGTAGTGTTTGAAGAAAAAAAATGCAAATTTTAGGATAACATGAAAAGAAAATTTGCGTGTTACTTCTGCGACTGAATGATACCAGTTTCTTGTCACTCTGATATAAAATGGATAACCATAAGTTGATTTGAATATTTCTGACGTGTAAAGATCCTGATGTGTCATTTAAGTGAAGTTAATTCTCTTAACCTTTTAGAAATTCTCCCTTTTTAAAAAATTGGGTAAATTAGACTCTTTAGACCAAAGACTTTTCTTGCTCTTAACATGTCATATTCTTACCTGGTATTGAGATAAAATCTCTGAGTATTTTTTAAAACTTCTGGTTGAGTTGAGAGAAAATATCATTTGAGAGTCTGAAAAATCACAAAGCATGGTTATTCCCCAAGAAGAAATTGTTTTGAGAATCTGTATTAAGTTTGTTTTCCTTTAACCATCTTGGAGGGCATTTTTGTCTTGTTCCACATAGTGTTGCCTATAACTGGTAGTCGTCTGTCTTGCCCTGAATTAGGCCATTCTTGCTTTGCATTCTCTTTATCGGGATTCTGTATTGTTTAAGAAAGAATTCATTCCAGTATTTTCCCCCTTCTTGCCATTGATACTTTGGCATTGAGAGAAAATTCTGCACTTCAAATGATTGGAGAAAGCTAGAATGGTTAATGAGACACGATTCTAAGGAGATTGAGACAGGATACTCAACCAACGCCTTTCTTGCTAGAGTCAGATTCATGTCCATTTGACTACAGCTATTGCCATGATTCCTTAGAGTGGTAACCATTTGGTAATTTTTTTTCCTTTTGTATCATAGAAATGTCTCGAACTAACTTGAAACCAAGAAATTACCAACTAGAGCTTGCTTTGCCTGCTAAGGAAGGAAAAAATACAATAATATGTGCTCCTACTGGTAAGCCAATCGCTATTACTTATACCTCTCTGCTCCCTTTCCCCCTTAAAAAAAATAAGTTTATTTATTTATTTTTAATTTGTTCTACTTAGTTGTACATGATAGCAAAATGCATTTCAATTCATTGTACACAAATGGAGCGCAACATTTCAATTCTCTGGTTGTACCCGGTGTAGAGATGCACTATTTGTGCAATCATACATGTACCTAGGGTGGTGATCTACATCTCCTTCCACCATTTTTCCTGCCCTTATAACCCCTTCCCACCCTCCCCTTCTTTTTTCCCCCTTTTATTGAATACTGACAATGGGGAAGATTCAGTTTTTTCCATGTTCCATTTGCCTTTGAGAAAACTATCCTATTAATGTAGTCTCACATATTTTAAGGAATTTGAACAATGAAATTGAACAATGAAAGAAAAAGAATTTGAACAATGAAAGAAAAATGCCCTCTTTTAGTACGCTTTTGATCCTGGTTATTCAAGTGCAGGTAACTTGGGAAGTAGCTTGATTATTTTTTAGTTATAGCTTAAATTCTGCAGTCGTTCATCCCTCTAAATGATCAGTTTACTTACCTGCCCACTGGTGTTAGGAGAGCCAAAAGAAATACTTTTCCATAGCACTATCTAATACCATGTTACATGTTTTCTTTTTCCTTGTTTATTAAAAGGTTGTGGGAAAACCTTAGTTTCACTTCTTATTTGTGAACATCATCTTAAAAATTTTCCACAAGGACGAAAAGGGAAAGTTGCTTTTTTTGCTAATCATGTCCCTGTGTATGAGCAGCAGAAGTCTGTGTTCTTGAGATATTTCGAAAGGCTTGGGTAGGTATAACAGTCAGTCCAACTTCTTTTTTCTACCTTTATGCAACGAATGTGTTTTCTGTTTTGCTTTTTTAAAGCCACAATTTAAAAAAAATTGTAATAGATTCAGCTTTTATATAATCTAGATGTAATTCAGATTGCTTTTGTTAGATATGCCAGAAATTCTAATCTGATTTGCTCTTACAGGGTGATTAAATGACTTAATTGATAAGTTTGACATTTAAATGGCACATTTGATTTCTTTGATGATTTTATAATTTATTTGACAGTTCCCTTTTAAGTACTCTTTTTTTCTTTTAGTGACTTGAAAAAATAATATATTGTATCAGTTATAATGAGTTTGCGTTGGTCAATCACTTGCTCTGTGTCAGGATATATTCTGGGAGAACTTCATCAGTTGCTCTTCTGATCTAGTGCTTCATCTTTGTGTTTCCTCATTCACAGGATGGTAATATAGGATTTCTGTCTCTTCCCAGGTACAGTGTTGCAGGCATTTCTGGAGCAACAACTGAAAATGTCCCAGTAGAACAGACTATCAAGAACAATGACATCATCATTTTAACACCCCAGATTATTGTGAACAATCTCAAAAATGGAACTATTCCATCACTGTCTGTCTTTACTTTGATGATATTTGATGAATGCCACAACACCAATAAACACCACCCATACAATATGATCATGTTCAATTATCTAGATCAGAAACTTGGAGGATCTTCAGACCCACTGCCCCAGGTATCTTCAAAATCAGATGTACTCCTCAGAAAAGCTATTATCTTCCTAAATCCTCCTTTACTTACTTTTGTTTTTCTTTTGGTACCAGAAATTGAATTCAGGAGTGCTTAACCACTGAGCAACATCCCCAGCCCTTTTTTGTATTTTATTTAGGGATAAAGTCTCACTGAGTTGCTCAGGGCCTTGCTAAGTTGTTGAGGCTGGCTTTGAACTCAGTGATTCTCCTGACTCAGCCTCAGTGTCACTAGTATTATAGGTATGTGCCACTGTACCCAGGCCTATTTACTTACTCTTGTGGCTACAATTGAGGTTGTTCCTTTTAGATTCAAAGTTCATATTGTACAACTCATTGATGAATTTTGATTCCTTCATTTATTTATTCACTTAACAATTAGTTGTCCGTTAGTATTGAAAAGGGATTGGTTTCAGGACTTCTGCCTCCCAGATACCAAAATCTAAGGATGCTCAAGTCTCTTACAGGAAATGGCATAGTTTGTGCATATAACCTACATATATCTCCTTATATATATTTTAAATCATCTTTAGATTACTTATAATACCTAATATAATTTAAATACTATGTAAGTTGTTGTTATATTGTATTGTTTAGGGAATAATGACAAGGAAAAAAGTTTGTACATGTTCAGTTCTTATGTAGTTTTTTTCGAATATTTTTGATCCCTGTGGGTTAGTTGCACCTGTGGACATGGAAGGCTGACTATATGCATCATGCACCTCTCTTTGCCTTACACTGTTCTCAGCACTGGGGGTGTAAATATGTAAAGAAATAATTCTTGTCCTCAAACACCTGAGTTTTCATGGGGAGACAGATATGTAAGAATTATGTTAAAATTTATCATAATGGTGTGTTGTGGATACAGGTATAAAATACAGCCAGAACAGGAGTGAAAGTACTCCTATGTGTGCTAAAAAAAGTAAGGCAAGACCTGACAGAAGTTGGGTTAATAGGACTTAGAGGCTGAGGCAGGAAAATTGCAAGTTCTGGGATATTTCAGCAACTTAGCAAGATCATCTCAAAATAAAAAAAAACAAAAAGGACTGAAGTTGTATCTCTGTGATAAAGGGCTCCTTAGTTCAATCCCCAGTTAAAAAATAAAAACGGCAGGGGGTGAGGGCGTAGGCAGAAACTAATAGGAGTTTGCCAGGTAGATGGCTGGATGATTTTCATTAAGAGGGTGCTGTGTGTCCAGAGGCAGAGTTCTGAAAGAACCTGGTGTGCTCCAGAATCTTGAAATTCTTCAGTGATACTTGCGTATAGAATGTGAGGTAGGGAACAGCAGTAGGCAAGGTGGAATTAAAGAGGGGGAGCAGTGACTGGTAGAGCAAGATGCCTGGAGACACCAGAGGGTGTGGGGTTAGTGGGCAAGTGGATGCATTAGTGTGAGAGGAGAGGAATGACATGTTTGATGTCATATGAGAAGGGTCGATTCAGAGAGTTGTTATTACATGGATTAGGAAGCAAAAGAAATCTCTGGTGTATAACTTCTCTTTTGAACATAAGATATGTAGATCATTGCTGAGTATCATTGATATATGAAAGGGAGCGGGAGCTGGGGAGAGTGGAGAGAATTTGAAATCTGAGGGAGAACTGAAAGAGACACTGAAAAATTCCTTGATTGTATGGGGGACTCAACTGTGGTTGGAAACTATGAATTTATGGTATACCAGTCTGCACATATGTCAAGTTCAACAGCCCTAATAATTATCCATCTGGGGAGTGCAGGTTAAAAGAAATTTAGTATGGTGCTCACAGACCAAAACTAGAATCTTTCCATATGAATCACCTTTCTTATAGCCTATTCTTCTAGAATAACTTTGATGTTAATTACATTTCTTGCTGGTTAGATGGTTATTCAATAATTATTGCACAGCTGGTGGAGGGAGGTATCTTACTAAATCTGCACAGATACCACTGCAAATAAATAGCTATGATTTCCCAACTTTGCAGAGAGCTGCAGGTGCTTGTCCAAGGACACACAGTTATTGTGACATGGCTGAGATTGGAATGGATTTGTGTCAATTTCAGTCCTTTTCCTTTTCAGTATGATGTTCTCCACATCATAGGGGACACAAGGCAAAAGAAAAGAAAATCCTTGCCCTGAAAGTTTTCCCTGTCTCAGTTTCTAGGCTGCTTAGTGTTTAGCTGAGCTGCGACTCTATTCATGCTTTGCCGATTGGGACCTTTTTATTTGTAATTTCATAGAGAATGTTAGGGGAAAAAGCTAACGTTGGAATGGTCTTACAGGTTGTTGGGCTGACTGCCTCAGTTGGTGTTGGGGATGCCAAAACCACAGATGAAGCCATGCTTTACATCTGCAAACTGTGTGCTTCTCTTGATGCAACAGTGATAGCAACAGTCAGAGACAACTTGGAGGAACTGGAGCAAGTGGTTTATAAGCCCCAGAAATGTAAGTGGTATCCAAGAACAAGCTCTTGGGAATTTTTAACACTCTCTGCTACCCCTAGTTCAGGGTGATTTACATGAACACTGAACTTTGGCCCTTTATTTGTTTAGAAGAAAATATTTAACCCCAAACCTGGGAAACAGTCACATAACATTTCCAGTCTTTCTTCCTGTGTTGTCTTCCCTCCCAATGGATGAACATTAGAAGTTGCCTATAAGGAGCAAAAATTTCTACTTTGGCTCCATAAAACCCAGATAAAGGTCCTAGCAATGTGAAGGAGATGATGAGAAAATCTAAGCAGGTAGAAAGCCAAAGGCTGGGCCTAATCCTTCCCTGTGCTCCATGCCTGAGCCAGGTACTGTGTGGTCATCATCGTTTAAATATATATCTGAGGGCTGGGATTGTAGCTCAATGGTAGAGCACTTGCCTATCATGTGTGAGGCACTGTGTTCCATCCTCAACACCACATAAAAATAAATTAAAAAAAAATAAAAGTATTGTGTCCGTCTATAACTAAAAAAAAAATATGTATCTGATAAATGTAGTTGAAATTACCTGAATTCACCTTCTTTGTCCTCAAAAGATCAGAATATTATCTTTAAAATAAGATTGACTTGCAAATGTTTGTTGTTTATTGACTTTATTATTATACTAATCCTGCAAGGGCAAGAGAGATTCAGGAGATACACCCTTGCTCTCTGAGCAGCACAGGACTGTATGAGTCTAAGGCAAAACAAATACTTATGTGATGGGGGGGACACGGGTAAGTTCCTGATGGGGAACAATCTGTAAGGAATGGAGAGGAGGTACCCAACGTTTTAACATCACGTATAAATTTCTTTGTAATCTGATCCCTCCAGCCTTCTGAGCCTTCTCTCTTCCCAAATCCTATAAACCCAACCATGTTGCATTCCTCTGGGTTCCCACACGTGCCATGAGCTTTCTCTCTTTGAGCTCTTTGCCCATGCTGTCCTTTCCCCATGACTACTCTTGCTCCTTTCTCTTCTTCCCATAGTTATTCAACAACTCTGCCTCCCCCCAAAACATTAGATATTCTTCCCCTGTACTCCATGGTACCTTGCCCCTACTTAGGTTACAGAACTCTCCTATGAATGCAGCCCTCTATGGAGCATGGGTATGTTCTTTTCAACTCTCTATCACCAGAACATAGCACATGATAGGCAATTAATAAGATTGTGCTGAAAGAATACAACGATGTGTGGACACTCTTGGGGGCTGGGTAGGAAAGGAGAACAGCAAAGCACAGAGACAGGATTCGAGTGTACCACTTGCAGAACAGGAGGGCTTTGGCTTGTCAGAGGTAACAGGGCAGCTGAGTGAGAAACTAAAGCATGGAGAACAAATGTCAGAGTCAGTGTGGTGAGCAATAGAGAGCCAAGTTTTTTGAGCATTTGTTGTACGATTAAGATCATCTGCCAGTGAACTTGGGATCTGTAATTTTCCAGAGGAAGTAAAAGGTTTGAAGATACCCACTTTGAACTATGATTTGTTCTTCCCTAAAAATACTTACTTGCCTTTGATGGTTCTAGTTTCCAGGAAAGTGGAATCACGGCCTACCAACAAATTTAAATTCATCGTATCTCAGCTGATGAGGGACATAGAGAGTCTGGCAAGGAATATCTGTGCAGAATTTGGTGAGTTCTCTTAACTCTCAGTGAGATAAGTCTCATATATTGTGTCCCTTCCATTGGAATAGCCATAGAGCGTTCACTAGTGGCTTTTTACTTTCTCTTTCATTTAGACAATGTCAACACCATATTTTTTTAAATTTTAATTTAATTTAATTAATTTATTTATTTTTAGGTGGACACAATATCTTTATTTTATTTTTTTTAATATGTGCTGAGGATCGAACCCAGTGCCTTACGCATGCCAGGAGAGCGCGCTACCACTTGAGCCACATCCCCAGCCCCAGATATGGACTTTCTTAATCATAGGTTATTCAGGAGCCTAATAAGTTCTCCTTTATTCTCTCTTGCCTGTTTTTCTTTTTAAATGTCATGTAAATTGTTTGGACATGCACACCTTGAAAAATACATTTAAATCAGTTCATCAGCTTTCTTGACCTTCCAAATTAGCTTTCCATACTGACTTTCCTATTTATATAACATGAAACCACCATTCTCCTGCTGGTGATTAAAACCTAGAGGTGGTTTAAAACAAATTTTTTTTTAGTTGTCAATGGACCTTTATTTATATGTGGTGCTGGGAATCAAACTCAGTGCCTCAAACATGCTAGGCAAATGTTCTACCACTGAACCACAACCCCAGCCACTAGAGGTAATCTTTGATATATATTTCATTTGAAACTCCCTCATGGAGTAACCAAGTTCTATCCTTCCACTTTTTATTCATTTTTCCATTCATGAAATATTTATCGTTCTAGGCACTGGGCTAGGCAATGGAAATATTGAGATTAAAGATAAAGTCCCACAAAAGAGAGAGAAATAGAGAGAGACACACACAGAGACCCTGCCCTCAGGGAACTCAAGAGTCAAATAATGGAAATCTGATGCAAATAGTTGCCATGGGGTGAGAAGTCTCACACTGGGCAGCACGGTGTCCTGGACTGGGAAGGGCTTTCTGAGAACCTAATGGCTGAGAAAATTCTTGAGGAAGTCAATCATGTCAAGGAGAGAAGCAAGTGAGGTTGGAAGGATAGCAGGCAAGGAAGGAAGAAGGAACACAATGAATTCTAGGAGCTTTTTGCTTTTACCTTTCCTTTTCTTACCAAGCTTAACTTAGGACCCATTCTAATAGCCTTATGGCAATTTTCCCACCTTCACTGTCTCTTCCATTTCATGTTCCATTCATTGGTTAGTCTTCTTGACATACCAAGTTTATGTTCATATAGCCTTTTGCCTAGGAAATAATTGTTGAACTCTAATGTGCATGGACAGTCTGCTTCCCTTTATATTTACAATTCCAACTTGGATTTAGCAGTTGCTTGAACATGTTCATTCATTCTCTCAGTGCCAAGCAGCGTGCTAGGGAATATAGCGTGAAATCCTGAGGTGTAGCTTCTGTCCTCATGAAATTTCCAATCTAAGGGTAAAGTCAAAATTATGTAGTGAAGCTTCTGGGTTGGCTGGGTGCTGATCATCAGCTATGTTTCAGGCAAAGGGAACTCAATCTGCAAAGGTCAGCAGACTAGAGAAAGTATGGGGAATTCCATTAGTCTTATAAAGTGAAAGAAGGGAAGTGGAGTGGCTAGAGGTGAAAATTAAAAGTAGGCCAAGGCCAGACACCAGAGAACCCTGTTCACCCTTTGTGAGTAGAGGCACTAGCCTGTTTTTACTATAATGAAATACCTGTGACTGGGTAACTGATAAAGAAAAGAAACTTATTTAGCTCATTGTTTTGGAGGCTAAAAGCCTAAACAAAATGGCACAGGCTCTGGTGAAGGTCTCATGGTGGATGGCATTGGTGCAGGAGTACATGTGAGAGAATGAGATCCCATCTCCAGACAGGAAGCCAGAGTGGAGCCAGGGAGGGGCTTCTTCTTTTGTAACAACCCTCTCACAAGAACTACTTTAGTCCCTTCTAAGGGCAGTGCTTCCTCCTAGGCCCCTTCTCTTAACATGGCCACACTGGGACTGATCTTTAAATGCATGAGCCTTTTGATAGACACTTAGCCATATCTAAACCACAGCAGCAGAGTAGGAGTTTGGCTTCAGGAATCCATTAGAGGCGTTTATGCAGTTGGGTAGCATGGTTTCTCACTTGAAAATTTGTAAACTCCCTCTATTTTCTGGGTGGGGAAAGAATTGAGGAAACAAGGGAAGAGGTGGGGAGAGCAGTTCAAGGTCATCTGGGAGCAAGGTGACATGGTGAAGTGGCAGAGGGAGGGAGAGATGGGGTGGAGTCACATGATTTTGTACTTTCTTATTCCTCTAACCCCTGGTACATTGCCTTCACCCTTTCCTTTGTATCCTTTCAATTGGTCATTTCCAAATTGCTTAAGTTGTTTTTACACCTATCCAATTCGGTAAATACTTGGTGGTTCATCTAGTTTCTGTTGGCCACCTTGTTTGCCACTAGGGCTAGGAAAGAGGCATGTTACATGTTAGGGCAGTCTCCTTTGTTCCTCTTTCTAAAAATGAATGGACGAGGGGAATTTTAATGTACTGTGCTCATCTGGAGGAGCCCCAGAGAACTGATATGTTTCAGGCAAAGGGAACTCAATCTGCAAGACCAAGCCATTTGAAAACAGCCCAGGCTTTGCCTTCCTCATCTTTTTATCCTCAGCCCTAAACAGAGCCTGGACCATAGCAGACTCTGTTTTTGAACCAAGGAGTTGAGGCTTAGCTTAGGGGATGAAGGCATACAGAAGCGTCCGTAACACGCATCTCTTGAGTTCCTGTTATGTTTGGCCCTCCTGTTCTGTTTGACTGCTCTCTGGAGATCAGATGGCCTAAGTTCACAGCAAAGCAGAGCAGACTGTGTTGAGTCCTGAATCTCCTGCTTTTATACACACTCTGGTGAAGCTCTTGAGACCTGTTATTTTTACTCACTGCTTCTTTATTTTTAAAGGCAAAGTCCCCCTCCCACCTCCCAAGTCCATTGTTGTATCTCTGTGATCCTTTAGTTGTCATAGCCAATAGAATTAGGGCATCAGACACTCTGGGTTTGAATTCTGGCCCTCCCCACTCTTTCTATCTGTGGGACTTTGGTAAATTACTTAGCTTTCCTGAACTTCCTATAAACAACTAGAAAGTGTAATCTCTACCTCATGAGTTTGTGAAATTATGAAAGTAAGACCCTGTGATTCTTGGTACATAGTTGAGGACTCAGTAAATAACCATTTGTACACAGAAACACACTGCTTAAGGCTCAGACTGTTGCAGGAGGCATGCCCTGTTTAAAGATAGTAAGAAAGGAAATCAGAGCATGGGGCGTGCTAGAACCTTAAGTGATTGACCATATGGCACAGTGAAAAGCTTTTTTTTCCTCCCCAGGAAACTTATTTCAAACTCAAAATGGGGACTTTGGAACACAGAAGTATGAACAACGTATTGTTGGAGTTCATAAAGCAGGCATGGTGTTTCGACTGCCAGACAAAGAGGAAGAGAGCAGGATTTGCAAAGCACTATTTTTGTATACTTCATACTTGCGGGTATGTTACTTCTTTTGAAAGGCTATTTTAGTCATAGCACCCCCTGGGAGCCGCACTGTGGCAGCCGAGAGACTATTAACATTTACCTCATCCTCTCCCCAAGAGCTCATTTAGGAACCTTTGATTTGAAAGGAAAGTTTGGAGCCAGACATGGTGGTGCATGCCTGCAATCCCAGCGACTTGGGAGGCTGAGGCAGGAAGATTGCAAGTTCAAGATTAGCATCAGCAACTTAGCAAAACCCTAAGTAACTTAGTGAAACCCTTTTATAAATAAAATATAAAAATGGCAGGGGATGTGCTCAGTGGTTAAGTGCCTCTGGGTTCAATCCCTGGTGAGGCATTATTTCTGAAATGATAATAGTGGAGGCAACAGGACTGAAACTTGACCATCATTTCAGCAGTCCCATGTTTGACACGGTTGGGAAAAATTGGGTGATGATAAGAGGACATTTTCTTGATATGTGACCAGTAGTAGCCATCTTTAAAGCCTATGTGAGTCCCATTGCCTGAACTTGTGATTTCTTGCTTCTGATAAAGTCCCGTGCTCAGAAATCTAGGGTCTCTGGTTAACCCAGGAACAACAGTAATAATCATCACCTTTACTCATTATGTCACTGAAAATATTTTAAAATGCATTCAGTTAGCATGTGTTTGTAGAATTTTAATTATCTTAATTGAATTGGTATAGGTGGTCAGTAATGTCATTCTGAAAGGTGTATTTATGATTTAGAAATTCAACTTCAGAAATTAAGTTGAATGTTTGAATTATAATGTAGGTGTAGAAGTTGATATGCTTTTGTTATTACTTTTTATGATATGCATTTTTCATGAGTTTCTCTACCTGCCCCCTCTTGCCAAGATGGAATTTTAAAATTGAAAGTGCTTCTAATTACTTAATGTTTCTAGCTAATTGAGATTTTTAAAAACTGTATTTGGCTCAAATTTTGATTATAGAACCGTCAGGGAACATTCATCTAAAAAACCCAACTGAAATAGACTTAAAAACGAATTCCTTGTTAAGGGCAGCTAATTGAATTTAAGCCGGGCAAATGTGTTAGACGATGGAAATATATTGAAAATCAGTTTTTATTTTAAACAGAAATATAATGATTCCCTCATTATCAGTGAGGATGCACAAATGAAAGATGCTCTGAATTACTTGAAAGACTTCTTCAACAATGTCCGAACAGCGGGATTTGATGAGACTGAGCAAGATCTTACTCGGAGGTTTGAAGGTGAGGGGTGTTTTCTGAGAAGGAAGCCACCAGAGTCTGGTAATTCTGAGTGGTAACATACAGACATGGTGTTGTATTTAATATACATAAGTTTGGTCGTGCTCAGGCAGTTGTACTGGGTTTAAGAAGATATTATGCGTCTGGGGTGTAGCTCAGTGGTAGAGTGCTTGCCTAGCATGTGTAGGGCAACAGTTCAGTCCCCAGCACTCCAAAACAAAACAGTGGGGACTGGCTTCAGTGAAATCTCATACCTATGGAGAGATTCGGTTGCTTAAACCATTACCTATTTGGAAGAAGGAAAAAAGTAGAATTTGCAAAGTATAATTCTCATAGAGTTGATGACTTTTTTTTTATTTAACTTTCAGTGATTTTTATAAAAGTCTAAAGAATACAAATAAGTATTCTAATGATCTTTAAAGATTATATGTATATATACCTCTATATGAAGAGGAAATCAAAATGACCCTTAATTCCACTGCCCTCATATTGTTACCAAAAATATGGAAACATATAGAGTGAAAAATTTTCTTCCTCTTTCTTTCAAATTTCTTTTCCCAAAGGTAATCATGGTTGTTAATTACCTTGTCCTGTACTGAAGTATTTATTATACATATGTATACCTAGTGGTGTGCTGTGCTGATAAACATTTAACAGTTTTCTGGGAAGAATGTGTGCATATATTATACATAAGTTTGTTATAAATTTTATTGATATAGAAGCTATATAGCATGCAACTTACAAATAATAAATACAATCTCCTTGATTGTAAATTCTACATAGCCAGTTGACTTGTATAAATGGCTTTTAGTGGTTTTGTAGAATCCTGGTACTTATTACCAACTTATGGTTGTAGCTAACAAACGAATATACTTCTGACATGGATGTTGGTATATATTTTCATTAATGTTGGGAATAAGATGGAAATGAAACAACAGAGACATTGGAGCTTCACTTGTTTGTCAAGGATCTGAGCAATTTTTTGTTGTTGTTCTGAATTGGACAATAGTTTTTCAAACCCTGGGAGATTATATCCTTTTGTTCAGTGTACTCTTTACAATGTAATAGCTAAGTTTGACCTGCATAATTTTCTCATTGCTTTCATAAGTCTAGATTGTCAAGAAAATAGATCAAACACTGATTTTCAGTGTTTCCTGACTTTCCTGGTATCAGTACTCCCACTGTCATCAAGTTCAAGCCACCAACATGTTGTCATCAAATGAGTGACCAAAAAAATGAACATAGCACACCATTCTGTAGTATCCCTACCATACAGATACAATAGATTTAAATAATTTAAGAGCATAGTTTATAGTAAAAGTCAATAAAATAATTAAGGGATAATGAGTGTGGGCTATTTATTACCTTCATTTTTAATATGTTATTGAGTGGCAAATGTATATCAATTATATAAATTTTAATAATCATTGTATTTAAAACTAGCTCATGCAATTCTCAAAAATTTAACAATTGACTATCAGTCTGGTATGATCTGGCTCTAGCACACCACAGCTTCATTCATACATATATATGTATGTGTATACACACACACACACACACACACATATATGGCATGGTACTGAATATACTCTCTTGTATTTTGATTTTGTTTTTTTGGAACCAGTGATTGAACTCAGGGGCACCTGACCACTGAGCCACATCCCCAGCCCTGTTTTGTATTTTATTTAGAGACAGGGCCTCACTGAGTTGCTTAGTGCCTTGTTTTGCTGAGGCTGGCTTTGAACTCTCGATCCTCCTGCCTCAGGCTCCCGAGCCACTGGGATTATAGGCGTGCAACACCATGCCTGGCTGTATTTTGATTTTTTAATCTAAAATATCTTTGAAATCATTATGTATGTATTAATCCCTTATAAATTTTTTAAAATTTTTTAAATTGTGGATGGCCACAATATCTTTATTTGTTTATTTATTTTATGTGATGCTGAGGATCGAACCCAGTACCTCACATATGCCCGGCAAGTTCTCTACTACTAAGCTAACAGCCCCAGCCCAATCCCTTATTAATTTTAACAACTGACATGTATAGCCCATCATGATCTGTTGAACTGTTTCCCACCTTTTGGGTATTTAGGTTGTTTTCTAAATGAAAGTATTGTGACTATTCTTGGAGATATCTTCCATAATTTTCTGAATATAGTGGTATTTCAAATTCTTAGATATAGAATTATTGAATCAAAAGTTGTGTGAGCTTTATGTTTTAATGGATATTGCCAAATGACCTTCCTAAAATGTACCAACTTATATTGGTAGTTGTTAGAAAATTTTGGTCTAAGATTGAGAGATTAACTGAACTTTTAGGTCACGATGTGTTATAAATTTTAAGAATTTTGAAGCCATTTGTAAAATGTTCTCCATTTGCAGAAAAACTGGAGGAATTAGAAAGTGTTTGCAGAGATCCCAGCAATGAGAACCCTAAACTCAACGACCTCTGCCTCATCTTACAAGAGGAGTACCACTTATATCCAGAGACCAGAACCATTCTTTTCGTGAAAACCAGAGCACTTGTGGATGTAAGCCTTCCTTTTTCTTGTGAATAACAGATTGGCCTAGTACCATGTAAAAGACTGCCTTTTCCTCACTGCTCAGCAGTCAAGTGTCCATATGTGTGTGAGTTTGTTTCTGGGATCTCTATTCTGGTTTTCTCTTTGTTTATTCTTACATGAATACCTTACTATTTTCATCACCCTAGATTATAAATCCTGATACCTATGGATTAAGAACTTTATCTACCCACACAGAAAATTTAATTCTAGCCATTCTATGGATGTGTAATGGTATCTCACAAGAATTTTGATTTGCATTTCATTAGTGACTGAGATGGCTAAACATCATTTATATGCTTTTTAACTTTGTTGGGGTATCTGTTCAGTTTTTTTTGGTGCCTATTTTAAAATTGGATTGTTTATCATCTTATTGAGGTTTTGAATGTTCTTTTTAATGTTCTCACAAAAAGTCCTCTGTGAGACATGTGATTTGAAAATATTTTCATCTGGCTTATGCCTCCGCTCACCCCACCCCCTGCCACCCAATTTTCTTAACAATAGCTTTTGCAGATTGAAAAGGCCAAAGATTAGTTTATCAATTTTTTCTTTTCTGGATTTTACCTATGGTATATCTAGGAATTCTTTGCTTATTTAAGGTCCCCCAGATTTTCTTTGTTATCATTTAGAAGTTTTATAGTTTTACATTTTATATTTGGGTCTATAATCCATTTTGAATTTTTGTATGTGGTTCGAGGCATGGGTTGAGATGCTTTCTTTTTCTTTTTGAATATGGACATCCAATTGTTCAGCAATGTATGTTGAGACTCCTTTCTCTATTGAATTGCCTTTGTAACTTCTTTAAAACCAAAAAATCAGTTATCTGTATTTGTTTGGATCTATTTCTGGATTCTGTTCTCTGTTCCTTTATCTATCCATTCATCCATTCATTCATTCCACAACTAACTTGATTACAGTAGCTTTATGATGTCTTGAAATGGAATAGTGTAAGTCTTCCAATTTTTTTCTAAGTTGTTTCAGCCATAATCTTTTGCCTTTCCATATACATTTTAGAATTAGATTGTCCACATCTAAGCAAATTCTTGCTGGAATTTCACTTGGAATTGCATTGACTGTATAGATAAAATTTGGGAAGAAATGGCATCTTAACAATATTGAGTCTTCTAGTTCAGAACCATAATATTGTTATTAAGTAACAAATTAGTCCAAATTAATGTTAGGGAACAACAAACATTTATTATCTTAATACTCATGGATCAGTATTCTGGAAAAAGCAGCATTTCTGGCTCAAGGTCTCTTGTAGAATGCAGTCAAGGTGTTGGCCATGATTTCAGTCATCTTGAGGGGAAGATCAGCTTCTGAGCTTCCTTATCATGGCTATTGACAGGCTTAAAAGATGTGCTTCCAAGTTTACTCATGTAGGTCTCTCCACCAGGCTGCCTCACAACACGGCAGCTGGCTTTCCCTAGAGTGAGTGACCCAAGAGAGGTTGAGAGAAAGAAGGCCTGATTTGGAAGCCACATTCATTTTATAAATTCTTTTTTGAATTTGTATCTCATCATGTCTACTGTACTTCTTAGAAGTAAATTATTAAGTGAAATTCACTCTCAAGTTGAGGATTTGAATTTAGGAGATGGAAGTCACTGAGCACTACCTTAGAGGCTACCACTGTGTTTTCTTATTTGTTTTACCAATGTTTTGTCATTTTCAACATAGAGACCCTGCGTGTATTTTGTTAGACTTTTACCTAGGTATTACTTTTGGTTACATTATTATGAACGGTACTTTTAACATTTTTTTTCAAATTCCAATTATTTGTAGTATGTAGAAGCACAATTGATTTGTGTATATTGATTTTTGTGTCCTGCAGTTTTGCTGAACTCACTTATTAATTCTCTGTACCCACTATTTTGAACTTTACTTTTTTTGCTTAAGATATATCTTGGCAATTTAACCAGATAGGTCACAAAAATCTATACCACTAGTCTGTATTATTGCATGGATTTCAAGGTTTGTCAGTCTGATATCCATCTGTATACTATAAATCTTTTTTGTTTATATAAATATATATTTCAATATTGAATTAATAAAGAGAGTTTACAAGTAGTTTCTAACTGATACTTTTCATTTTTAGGCTTTAAAGAAATGGATTAAAGAAAATGCTGCACTCAACTTTCTAAAACCTGGTGTATTGACTGGTCGTGGCAGAACAAATCAGAATACAGGTACTTATATATGTAGTAAATCAGATTTAGTATACTATCTATATAAAATACCTAATACACATAAATTCTTTTTAAATGCTTCTATCAGGGTTCAGAGAAGCAAAACCAGTAGGACATTATACATATATATGGTATGTGTATGTGTATTTTTATGTGTACATATACCTATGCATAACCTAGAGATTTCTTTGTTGTTGTTTGTCTTAGAGTATTTTGCAAGAAAATACTCTTAAGATTTAATAAATGTTTTACAACTTTGAAATACAGTCACATAGTAGCTTTTTAAAATTAGTATTTGCATTGTCTCTGTAGGTGATTATAAAAAATAAAAAATAGAATGAAAACTTAGAGCCATGAGAAATGTCACAGAAGGAATTGGCTTATACAATTGGGTTGGCAAGCAAGTCTGAGATCTGTAGGGCAGGCAGACAGGAAGGGAAGATCAGAATCAGGTTTAAACCCTGCAAGCATGAACTATTTGAAGTCCCTGGGCTCAGAGAGGGCTGAGCTCATTGCTTCCCATCCTGTTCCCTTTAAAAAGTTCACCTGAATAGGTCAGGCCCACCTAGAATGAACTCCCTTTTAGTTTAAGTTAAATCCAACTGATTGTGGATTTTAATCACATCTGCAAAATCCCTTCTCAGCAGCACCTAGATGAGTAACTGGGAACTGTAGTTCAGTTTCACCCAGTTGGTGAATTAGAAGGCCATCACACTGCACAAACACCTCAAACACTTGTCTCTTTGCTGGTAGACAGTTGCTTCTTCTCATATGTCCAACCAACAGAGCCAAAGTTGTTTTCCAAATACTGGTTGAATGTATCCCTTTCGTTAAACTCTCATTCAACAAATTTAAGATTAACTGAAAATATAAATATTCTGTATTATTATTATTATTTAAACTGTTGACATATAGCTTTTATATATATTATATATATTATGGTATAAAAACAGTCAAAGGTGACAATCCTGAAGTCTAGCTAGGGTGGTCAAAGGATGAAAGGCTTCTCTGTTACCATCTGAGAAGGTCCTAGATGGCCAGCTCTCATTCTGACCTCTTCACAGCGGTGCTACCCACCCTCTAGAGACTATTTCGTCACCCGCAATAATGGGCTCTCACTCTGCTCTTCTTATTGAGTATTGTTTGTAGTAAGCAACTTCTCATCATCCCCTCATCTTGGTCCTCCGTCGTTGCTCTTATTCTTTCCCCACATATAATTTCTAAACTTTTGGAATATGAAAAGTAGATTCAGATTTTGAAACTGTGACTTATCAAGTGAAGTACAGCATCACCTTAGTGTGGTTGGGATTCAAAGTTCTCTGCAAATGATTCCAACATGAGTTTTCTGAGTAGGCACTCCAAAAATATTCTTACTTTAGAACTCCCTCTGTGCCAGGCGTTGTTCTTCTCCCAAGCAGCCACCATCCTCTGAAAATGAACAGAGGCGCCCTTCTTCTACATTTCCACAGCATCCATTCTACCTGTTTCATTGCTCACCTCATGGAATCACAGCTTCCTATTTATATCCTCCTACAAAATGTGAGCTCCTTATGGATAAAAGTGGAACCTATAACCATTTTGCTGCTATCTGACAAAGCATGATCTATGATTACTGAATAAATGTTTGATGAATGGATAGATAGGTTAAGATGATTTGGATAGATGGGTGAAGATAATTTTGACTAAATATTTTTTTCTGGTCTATCTTCTTCTTGTTACTATTTTTTTTTTAAAGAGAGAGGAGAGAGAGAGAGAGAGAGAGAGAG